TTTTTTTTTACAATAATGCATTTTTTAAAATATATATACCGATCAGCCACATCACCACCTCTAACCTATTAGAGCGTGAACATGGGACCTCTGGAGTCTGATGGCACCAGGATTCTGGTATAGACTGGTTGGAGCTGCTTTACATTTGGCTTCTGTCTACATCCCACAGAAGCTTGATTAGACTGGGATCTTGGGAGTGTGCAGGCTCTGATAATGCCTTAGGTCCTTGGGCTCTTTGGTTTAAAAAAAAAGTTTTGCTAGCAATGTTCCAGGTTTTTGATTTGCTATTCCATTAAAGGGGAGAAAACCCAGGAGTAGTCTAAAAGCCAGAAAAATTAGGTTAAAATTGGTCCATACAAATAGATTTTATGTATTTAATGTCTGTTTAAATCCATTATTCAAACTCTTTAATGATCAAATTGTATTTTAAATCCCTTAAAAACACGTCTGCAACACGGCGGTACAGTCACATGGGAAACAAAGTGTTCACTGTGGAGTCCTGTGAAAAACTAATTACACTCCATAATTCTAGCTTGTAGAAGCACCTTTAGCAGCAATAAGTTGAAGTAATTGTTTTATGTATGACTTCATCAGTCTCTCACACTGTTGTGAGGGAAATTTTGGACCACTCTTCTTTACAACATTGCTCGAGTGCCTTGAGGTTTGCGAGCATTCATCTATGCACTCCTCGCTTAAATTTCTGCCACAGCATTTCAATCACTTTAACTCGTACTAGGGCACTGCAGCACCTTGATTCGTTTTTTCTTCAGCAGTTCCATAGTAGATGTGCTGCTGTGCTTGGGATCATTGTCCTGTTTCGTGACCCAATTTGGCCAAGCTTTCCAGACGTCTTGTGGTTTGTTCAGATGTAGCTTTTCAAACCTAAGCTGTACTGTCATGTTCTTTTCAGAGAGAAGAGGCTTTCTCCTGGAAACCCTGCCAAACAAGCCAAACTTGTTCAGTCTTTTTCTAATTGTACTGTCATGAACTTTAACATTTAACATGCTAACTGAGGCCTGTAGAGTAGGCTTTTCACTTCCTGTGAGCTTTTCACCATGAGCTGAATTTGCTGGGATCCACCTGGGATATTTCCCTGTGAAAACTCTGTTTCACCGAAATGCACGTGTCAAAATAACATCAACGTGAATGCCTGGAAGCAGATTTCCCAGCAACACTTTACATTGTGATGAGATGATCAGAGTTATTCACTCAAACTGTCAATTTTAATGTAGTGGCTCATCGGTATATAAAATAAATACAGTACATGGTCTTCCATCAATCTTGCATCCACCAGCAGATGTGTTTTTTATTAATTATTAATGCAAACTGTTTAAATTTTCTCTGTTATCCATTCAAGTGGATTTTATAGTGCATCCATCCTTTATAGTGTATGAATGAAGTTTTTTACTGTCCCAAACTTTTTTTTAACGAAAGGTTGTGAAAACATCAAACATACTACTTAAATAAGTTATGAAGCTTTAAAAAAGAGAGAGAGCAGAGTATAAGTAAAATGCTTGTTTTGAGTGCAAAACTCACCCCAGTGACATATCTCGGCCTGAACTGAATGGTGCCAAAAAGGCCCAGGATGACAACAATGATGTGCAGGAAGTTGGTCAGGATGGGAGCCCACTGGTATCCCAGGAAATCTATCACCTGGCGCTCCAGCACACTGACCTGATAGAAAAAAGAAGCAAAGGAGTGAGATTAGACGCAAGAAAACAAAGGCGTGTTTTCTGTAAAACATTTGACTGTTAAAGGTAAAACTACCAACAGTGACAGAAATGACATAAAACTCTAGTTACAGCTTTGCAGTATGGTACACCTCTACCAACCACGATGGCTTTTCAATAAAAAAAAAAAAGGTATTAAGTGTATTTATGTTTGGGAAATGCACTGTAGACACGACACTAGTGATCCTTCACCCACAGAAAGCCACAAATTCTAAAACACAGATGCTTTACAAGCATCTTGAACCCCAGCAGGACCTATTAATCACCACAGTTTGTAGTCTCATCAATCAGTCTTCTGACCATATGGTCATGACCTTTGTTCCCAAGTAATGGTGTTGGAGTTGTGTTTTTACACAATGTTATGATGTCACATTGAAGATGATGCCCTTCTGGATCTAAATGATCCGACTTAGTGTTTTCACTCGTCTGGACATTTGAGAGAAAATTGTGTCATTAATCCTTGAAAAACTTCCAAAAACATGTTTTATAAGCCCACAGTGAGCTTGCCCCTTGACCGCCACGCTCAGATCCGTTCATTCTTGAGTCCAAGTCAACATTTGTGCCAGATGTAATTAAATCCCTTGCAGCTGCTCCTGAAATATCGCTTTCACGAGACAGCAACGGACATGAGATTACTGGGACCTTGGTCTTTTGACCTTTGACCACAAAAATCTAATCAGTTCACCTCTGAGTCCAAAGTGAGCGTCTGTGCCACACTGCGAGAAACCCGTTTAAAGCTTTCAAAAGGACAGCTTGGCATAGAGATCAGCACCGTTTTTCCTAATTATCGCAGACATGCTGTGAAACCTCAAACAAGTGGTCGACCAACAGAAAATTTATCATTAGTCATTAATCATGGCTAACTCCCTCAAATGTAAGGATTTGCTGTGGTTCTTTGTTAAATGCAGAAAACAATTTTGCAGATGAATCGCAGCCTAACTCTGACGTAATATTTGAACTAACGATGGCTGTTTTTTTTTGTTTTTTTAATTCAGCCCCTTTCTTCAATCAGCTGATTTTTCTGTCTTCTTTACACATATTTATTTGGGACTCTTAATGATGAACTCACTGATGGGTCTGCTGCGGTTAGAGAGGTCGTTTATCATAATAACAAAATATAAAATGCTTTGTCATAATGAAGTAAACTGTAATCAGTTATACATGCATTACTGTTAAGCTCCCAGAGCTGTGTGTGTGTGTGTGTGTGTGTGTGTGTGTGTGGTAGAGCCAGTGAGTCTGGGGGGTGAGGGTTATTATCATTCAGTCACTGTAGGCTCATGCTGAGATAGTTAATGAAGTTAGCACAGCGTATGATATGGCACTGCTAAATATATTAACGCACACAGACAAAGACAGGGACAGGGAGATGGTGAGGGGGGAACAAAGAGAGAGCATGAGACAAAGAAAAGGTGTGCACTAAAAAGAAATAAGAAAAAAAATATAACGTGAAAGCTAAGGATGCCATTATTAGCTTCATTTAGTGCAAATGAGACTGATATTTACTGTTCTACGCTCTCAGCTAGAAGAGATTACACATCATCGACTTACATATCAAATCAAGGGCTTCATTACCAGCCATGACTGTGTAGCTGGTATTGTTTTCAGCTTATGAGGCTGCCTGTCTGTGAGTGTCTCTCATTTAAATGAATACTGTAGCAGGAGGTAACACAAAGGTGGTCTGTCTGCACAGATTTTGTCAAGATAGCATTGCAGCCCTGCAAAATACTGTCCCGAATCATTATGGGTGTGTCGTTGAGTTTAAAATGAACTTTGTTTACACCTGCTCTCTTCTCACACACATGCAGGCAAATTTCTGGACGGCTGAGTTCAGAGTGCCCTAAAGGTAAGCCATACGGCAGCACTACAGACAAAGCTAGAGACCGTGTTGAGCTGGGATCACACCGGCAGCGAAGCCTGGGTGTTCTTGGACACAAACCCATTATGAAAATATTACATGTTCGTACATCAACTAAAGGTGTAGTGTAGTGGTTTACGCATTTGCCTAGCAAGCGAAAGATCCCCAGACGTGACACCAATCTCTTTGGGGTTGCATCAAACAGGGCATGTGCTGTAAAAAGAAATCTGCCAAATGAAACATGTAGACCTGCTGTCTGTGGTAATCCATGTGAATAACAAAGCAGCTGAAAGGTATCTGATACAGGATATTTAATATAAGCATTAAAAATACAAATGATTGTGTAACCATGGTTGTTTGTTTGGTGTTAATGTTCTAGCGCTAGCGTGAGGCTATGAACCCATCGTGGTACATTTTTGGCTGCACTAAAAGCCTCTTTTGAAATATACTTTGGTCAATCTCAGATCATCTCAGTCCCTTGTACTTTTGAAAAGCTGAAAAAGAGCAACACAAATGGGAAACGTAAAAATGTTTGCCTTTAAAGTAAAAGCTGTGATTCAATTGTGTTCCAAAAGTTTTACTTTGAAGGCACTTTTTGCAGTTTCTTTAAAACTTAGCAAGTAGTTGGGAAGTTTTTTGGTACAACATCAACCTAGCATCTGCCACCATCCTCCCATAAATGCTCGCCAACCAGTTGTTTTTTCCGTGGTTGCCAGGGGTTACTGACTGATAGGCCTGTGTAAACGCAGCTTTAAGCAATAACTTACAATAACAATGACCAAATCCTCATTTTTTCCTAGCAACCTCATTGGTTGCCAGGTGGTCGCCAACTTGTCTCTAGGCCTGCGTGAGGACTAACCTAATTGGTAAACACAAGTAATCAAATTTCAACTAAACATTAAAGCATCATAGTTCTTTTGACTCTTTCAAGCTGATTTTATATTTGTAAAACTGTAGCAGAAGGCTGGTCACTGGCCATTGTTATTTTATATCTATATATAAATAAAAGCATATTTAATACACTTTTTTTTTTAAATCCCAAAGTTTACGCTCAATATTTAACATAAAGTAGGGCTGATGGGCACTGGAGGAAGTCCTGCACAGATGGGAACATCCCAACAGTACCAGGCACGCTGTCATGACTACAACCGTAACAGTGCATAAACTTCACCAATCAGACCGTCGTTTTAAAAATGAGTTACTGAATGTGAGAGCTACACGGAAAAGAAAGGTGTATGAATGAGTGTGCGGCGTGCTGACATATGTGCATCCATCCATGTGTGGGTTTCTGTGTCAGGGCAGGTCTGCTGTGCTTGCACTTGACAGCACCTGCTGTTATTGGACACACTGGGCTCAGATGGCTCAACAATGTGTGTGTGTGTGTGTGTGTGTGTGTGTGAGAGTGAGAGAGAGAGACTGTGCTTCTCTGTGTGAGTGCCTTTATGTTTGGATAGACTCTCTCTCTCTCTTTCTTTGTGTATCTGTATTATGTAAAAGTGTGTCCTCCCATTGACAATTATATAGTGGTACAATTGTGTCTCTCTCACAAGCAGGCACACACAACCATACAGACCATTATAAAAAGTCAGAGGCCTCCCTGCCTATTATAGAGGCCTCTTGGGGCCCCTCTTTCATCACCAATAATATAAACAGTCTTCTCTCCAGCTGGGACACACACACACACACACACACACACACACACACACACACACACAAGTAAGAGAAGTCACAGAAAGGAGTATCCAGTGGAGAAAATCTGAGAAATGAAGTAAAGAATTTCTATAGTTTAACTGTCAGTCATTTTAAAAAAAAAAAGATGCCGGGGTTTATTGCTCTAACCCGGGTTCATATAGGAACCAATGAAAGGAATATTCAAATTCAGACCATCTGTTCGTGCACTGCTCTCGTCTTTTCATGTGAAACTCTCATTACATGTCTCAGCTGCAAAACAACTAACATCAGCTGCCCCAGTAGATCGTCCTTTGTAATTCACTTCTTCAATTCTCCTGACAGAAAGGAGACACGTAAGCACCCCCCCTTCACCTCCCTACCCCCCTAACGCCTGCATCCTTTTTCATGAATCGTATGACAGAAGAAACAGTTTGAGTTTCTTCTGCTTTTCAACAACTTTAACTCTGGGGGAAGGGAGATGAAGAGCTGTGCATAGGAGCCTCGCTCCCAGCAGCGGTTTATGGCCTGCATGTAAGCAGATATGGCAGTTTTGTGATACGTGCAGCTGATGAAAGCTTCAGTGGTGTGCAGGTGGAGCTCCAAGCTGGCTAGCCGGGTCCTTTGGGATTAGATGCAGCTCGCTTTGATGCTGCTGACAGATTTGGACATTTCAGAGCCAATGCTTAGGCCAGGGATGCATGCACACTAGGGTTATTTTAATTGCTGTACATGTGTACTGTAAATCTGCAGGTGGACACAGCAAATTACTCTCGATATGTTCTGGTCTAGCACATAAGAATACTTGGAGCTCTGGAGAGCCAATGCTTGCATCTGTGAATGCGTGGAAAATAAAGTGGGTACTCCATTTCTCTGTTTAACAATGGTTCGCAAAACACAGAAAACAACTTTATATTCAGCCTTCTGTCAATCTATCTAATGCCAGCTCAAATTCCCTCAGGGACCAAGAATGTTTATTCCACCTACTGTTTTGTTAGCATAGACTGATGCGTGTGCTCTTCCTGGCATCAGCTTCCCAAATGCAGACGGAGTCTAAGTAGAGCTACAGTGAATCTATCACTCCCCTGCTATCCATTTACGTGGAGAGAGGCCAAATTCCTGAAAAAAATAAAATAGATTCTGGGCTGCGTTTAAAGGGAAAGTAATCTAACTGCCAAAGTAACATAGACCAATCACCTGCTTGTCTCAAACAATGATTTGAAGCTTTGCAAAAAACTTGATTTTTATTTGTTACCAAGCTGCAGGAGGTGAAAGGTGGCATCGACAGCAGTTTTCCACAAACGACACTGTGACCTCTGTTGCCGGCTAATTTACTCTCCTGTCGTTGATTAGCGCCGTTAATGAAACTCTGTCAGTTACACACACACACACACACACACACACACACTGGGGTGCAAAAC